GCATTTGGACTCCATTTGGTCAGCTGAAAGAACCACACAGGAACTGGAACAGGTTGCGTAATTCTTAGCTCTCTCTCTCTTTTTTAAAATAAGTCTTTATTGTTCAGATTATTACAGTTGTTCCTCTTTTTTCTCCCCATAGCTCCCCTCTACCGGGTTCCCACCCCACCCCATGCCCTTACCTCCCCCCCATTGTCCTCGTCCATAGGTGTACGATTTTTGTCCAGTTTCTTTCTGCACCTCCCACACCCCCCACCCCTGAGAATTGTCAGTCCACTCCCTTTCTATGCCCCTGATTCTATTATATTCACCAGTTTATTCTGTTCATCATATTTTTTATTCATTTGATTTTTAGATTCACTTGTTGATAGATATGTATTTGTTGTCACTTTGTTGTTCATAATTTTTATCTTTACCTTTTTCTTCTTCTTCCTCTTCTTAAAATATACCCTTCAGCATTTCATATAATACTGGTTTGGTGGGGATGAACTCCTTTAGCTTTGTCTTGTCTGTGAAGCTCTTTATCTGACCTTAAATTCTAAATGATAGCTTTGCTGGGTAGAGTAATCTTGGTTGTAGGTTCTTACTATTCATCACTTTAAATATTTCTTGCCTCTCCGTTCTGGCCTGCATAGTTTCTATTGAGAAATCAGCTGACAGTCGTATGGGTACTCCCTTGTAGGTAACTAACTGTTTTTTCTCTTGCTGCTTTTAAGATTCTCTCTTTATCTTTTGCCCTTGGCATTTTAATTATGATGTGTCTTGGTGTGGTCCTCTTTGGATTCCTTTTGTTTGAGGTTTCTGTGCTTTCTGGACTTGTAAGTCTATTTCTTTCACCAGGTAGGGGAAGTTTTCTGTCATTATTTCTTCAAATAGGTTTTCAATATCTTGCTCTCTCTCTTCTTCTGGCACCCCCATAATTTGGATGTTGGTACGCTTGAAGTTGTCCCAGAGGCTCCTTACACTACCTTCATATTTTTGGATTCTTTTTTCTTTGTGCTTCCCGGTTGGGTGTTTTTGCTTCTTTGTATTTCAAATCTTTGACTTGATTCTTGGGATCCTCTAGTCTGCTGTTGGATCTCTGTATATTATTCTTATTTCAGTCAGTGAATGCTTAATTTCTAATTGGTCCTTCCTCATATCCTTGCGGGTCTCACTAAATTTCTCAGAGGTTTCTAGAAAATTCTTGAGTAACCTTATAACCATGGTTTTGAACTCTATATCCAGTAGTTTGCTTTCCTCCATTTCTTTGATTTGTGACATGTTTCTTTGTCTCCGTATTTTGGCTGTTTCCCTGTGTTGATAGAGTGGCTTTGTGTGCGAGGTGTCCTATGGGGCCCAGTGGCTCAGCCTCCCCAGTCACCTGAGGTGGATGCTCTTGGTGCATCCCTTTGTGGACTGTGTGCACAGTCTTGTTATAGTTAAGCCTTGATTGCTGTTGGTATCACTGTGAGGAGTTGACCTCCCTCCAATTGGCTATGAGGACCAGCTGTGTCTACAATGGGAGAACTTCTGTGCTGGAGACACCCTTATGGGGCAGGACTTGCTTCAGTGGGGCTTTGGTGCTCTCTGAGTCTGCCCCCTGAGTGTGTCTGTTATGGATCTGAAGAGTTGTAATCTCGTGTGGTCTCACTCTGACCACTGGGTACACTGGCTCTTGGATCTCCAAGGTGGTGCAAAGTCAGCCACTGCCTGAGGCCACCCAGCAGGAGCTACAGAGAGATCTGCAGATCCCTCCTCTTTGTTTGGAGTTTGGAGGTGCCCAGATGAGGCGCAGCTGTGAAGCAATGCAGGTTGCTGATGAGCCTTAGGCCTTCTTTTGGAAGCTCTGCAGTTCTTTGACCCAGCTGCAGTTTGTTAGGTTTTAGATTGCAAAAGGCCAGGCCATTCATATGCAAAAGCCGCTGCGCACAGCTTGTGTGGGGTTGTAAATTGGGTGGGGTGGGGTCTCAGGGAATCACGGGGCAGTGCAAACAGCAATGGTTGCCCATTGGCCTTGCCCCAGATAGGTCCTTGGGTCTCTGTGTCCTGCGGCCCCGTGCAGGAACAATGAACGCTGCGAGCACCTCTGAGAGAAAGCCGCCCTCATGTTCCGGCCCAATGCCAGACAGTCCAGTTTCTCCCCGTATGAGTCTGGGTCCCCAGAGTCTCATCCGGAACTGGAGTTCAGAGCAGTCGGGAGCTTGTATCTCCCTCCTGATTGAAAAAGACCACAGCGTACCCAGTTGCCAGCCTGTTTCTGTGCGCGCCTCTGTACCTCTGCTCTTCCACACCTCTGCACCTCCTACCAGTCTAGATGCGCTTTTCTCTTTCCCTCTAGTTGTTGAACTTCCACTCAGCCAGCCTTCCCGTGGTTCTGGATGATATCCATTTTGTCTTTTAGTTGTAATTTTGATGTGGTTGTGCCAGGCAGCAAGTTCAGGTGTTTACCTATGCCGCCATCTTGGTTCCTCTCCAGCTCTCTCTTTTTTTAAAGTCCTCACCCAGGCATACAATTTTATTTTATTATTTATTTATATTTTTACTGATTTCAGAGAAGAAGGGAGAGGGAGAGAGAGAGAGACATCAATGAGGAGAAAGAATCATTGATCGACTGCCTCCTGCACACCCCACACCGGGGATCGAGCCCACAACCCGGGCATATGCTCTGACTGGGAATCAAACAGTGACATCCTGATTCATAAGTCGATGCTCAACCACTGAGATACACTGGGTCGGGCAATTTTATTGATTTTAGAGAGAAGGAAGGGGAGGGAGGGAGAGAGAATGGTGAGAAAGAGAGTGGGAGAGAGAGTGAGAGAGAAAGAAACATCAATGTGAGAGAGAACATCAATCGGTTGCCTCCCGTATGCACCACAACGGGGAATCAAACCTGCAACCTGGATATGTGCCTGATCAGGAATCAAACCTGTGACCCTACACAATACATGGGATGATGCTCCAACCAACTGAGTCACACTGGCCAGGACAATTCTTAGCTCTTAATATTTGGACCTTCTCCTGGCTTCATTCTGGAGTAGGTGTCCTTGTTGCTTCCTGTTTTCTGCCCACGGCTGCCTTGGTTCCATGTTCAGTACTCAGTGTCCTGCTGCTGCTCTGAGGTGTGGGTCTGATAAAGCCACTTGACCTTAGGCATAAAATGCATTTCCACATGACACCTCTCGGCAATTGCATTTGGCAGGGTCAGTGGAAAGAGCACCAAACTGAGAATCTCGAGGAGGCCAGGTTCTATCCTAGCTCTGCCTCTCACCAGCCGTGAGACCTTGGGCACATTGCTCCTCTCCCCTGAGCCTGTTTCCACATTTGAAAAATGACCAGGCTGGATGGGATGATTGACAATGGCCTTTCCAGTTGCAATGTTCTCTCAGTTGCCAAGTATAAAATCCAAAAAATGTCTGTTTTGCCTCATGCAAGGGGACACTGTTGCTGCAAATTAGGTATAAGCCTGCGTCTCAGAGGGGAATGGATGGAGAGGCTACATGTAGATGCTACAGCAGTGTCAGCTGTGCCCAGCCTCGGAGTCACCATGACTCAGGCACTAGCCATGTGCACGAAGAAGCCTCCAGAATATTCCATCCTCCAACCATTCAAATCTTCTCACTTGAAGCCCAGACTCTGTGGAGCAGAGTGCTGTACGTTGTCTGGATTCCCGACCCTCAGAATTGGTGAGTCTAGGAAGATTGTAGTTTTAGCTACGAAGGCTGGTGTGGTTTGTTGAATTGGAAATGAGCAATGAAGGCTCCGTGGACGTCTTCTGCTCACTGACTTCGGAAGCAGCCACCCCCGGTCTTGGATACTCCAGGTAGCATGGTGCTCTTGGGAGAGGAAGCTCAGAGCCTGCACTGTCCTGGGATGTTGTAAAGTTATAAACAAGGAGGCTCTGGAGTCTCTCCCCAGGCTGTCCCAGACTCTGAGGTATGTATGGGTCAGCTGGAAGGCGGGCCTATCTGTACTTGTCAACACCCCAGTGTGGGAAAGGCCAAAGGGCGGAGGGGAGGCTGTACTCCCGTAGAGGTCCTCTAGGTGCATCTTACACACTCTGCCTCATTTCAGCCTCACAATAGCCCTGTTAGACGCTGTAAGAAGGGGTGTTTTCCTGCTTTACTGATGAAGGAAAACTCAAGACTATGCAGGGGGATGCCATGCTCAAGACTATGAGGGGGGATGGCAGAGCTGGGCTTTGACCACAATAGTAGGCAGGGCTCTACAACTGCCTTGAGAAGCCCCGTGGTGACCTAGGGATGGGAGCTCTGAGAAGGGACCTCCATTTCCTTTAGCTAAACAGCCTCTTGTCTTGAAGGGAGACCACGGAACTTGGCGGAAGTTCTGTTTCTCCTCCCTTCCCCTCCCCCCTCATTCCTTTTGTCCTCCTGGGATTTCGAGGTAAGGAAGAGAGGAAGGACTCTCTCCAAGTCCTTCATTAAGGAAGGGGCGATGCGGATGTGGTCGCTACTAACCAACCATCCCAGGGCTGGGGGCGCAGAGGGAAGCCGGGCCGGGCGCCCCCAAGCTGGGGGTGGTGGTGAGGAGCGGAGTGTCCCTCCCACCACAGCCCCCGCCCGCAGTGAAACGTGGGCGTGAGGTTCCCAGAGCATCTGGGCAGTGTCAGGGCGCACGCTGGTGTCAGGGAGGAAGCGGCCTATTCCCTGGTGGGACTTCCTCTCTCACGGTGTGTTTTCTTTGGGAAGACGGGGGAGGGGAGGGGCAAGGAAATACCATTTCTGAGCGATCGTGCCAGGCTGTGTCACGCGTATCAGCCCATTTAAATCAATTCCCAGGCAAGGCGTGCAGAGGTTAGCTGACTTGTCCGGGCCGCGCAGCACGTGAGCTGCAGAGCGGGTGAGGACGCCTGGAAGGTGCTTTGGAGGTGACCGCCGGGCCCTGCGCCCTCACCCCCTGGCTGTCCCGCGGGGCTCCCAGCAGGGGGCGCCCCAAGCCCCGGCCTGGGTCACCGGGCGCGCCTCCAGCCGGCGCCTGGGACGGGGTTGGCCGCTCCGCCCCTCGGCTCCTCCGCGGCGGGGCGGGCGGCCCGAGGGCGCCGGGAGCGCGAGGAGCAGAGCGGAGCCGAGCGCCACGCACCCTGCCGCGCCCCCGTGCCCGCCGCGCCCCCTGTCCACCGCGCCCGCCGCCGCGCAGCCTTCCGCCGTGAGTAGCGCCCGCGCGGGCTCGACGGGCAGGACGGGGCGCACGCCCGACCGCAGCGGTACCCGGGGCTGGGGCTGGCGGGGGAGCAAATTGCCCGGGGCACGCACTCTCGTGTTCTCCAAGCCCGCAGCCCGGGCCCCTGACGCCGCCCGCGGGTCTGGCCGGCCGTGGCTTTTGGCGCCGTAGCCTCGCTGGACCTGCCCGCTGCACCCCCAGGGCACACGCTGAAGCCCGGTAGTTTGACCCGGGGGACGGGGGCGGAGGGCAGAGGCCTGGCACCCAGGCAGGAGATGGGAGACAGACTTCCTTCCATGAAGTCAGAGCCCTTTGACGGGGTAGAGTACCCCAGATTTCCGGGAGAAGAGGAGCCAGGTTTCTCAGCATCCGCCTCCTCGCAAGACTCCTTCTCACCTCGCCCCCACAGGTGATGCAGGAGGCTGCTCAGTGCACAGGCAGCCTCCTGCGTGGCAGGATGAAGCTGTGAGTCCTGACATCAGGACCCCGGCCTGGGGCAGAGACAGGGTGGGCACGGGGCAGCCAGCAGGCCGGTGCAGGCTGGGGTAGAAAGGCATGGCAGGGTGCTGTCAGCAGCTGACCCCAACTCTGGGCCAGGCATTGTGGATGTCTCCTGGCATGTGGCCGTGATTAGCATTTCCCTTTAGGAAGGAGAAAATGAGGAGAGGTGAGCATGGAGGCCACACAGGTGAGGTAGATCAGGAGTGCACACCGGGAGAGGAGGCCAGAGTTGGCTGCAAGAGGCAGGTGGGAAGGTCCCTGTGGGCAGGTAGACAGAGCACAACCTTTGACACCTTGTGCTCTGGATCCAGTGGTGGTAGTTGGGGGCTGCTGCTTTGGCTTCTGACACTCATTTCCCAACTGCATCTGGGTAAGGTGTTCCTGGAAGAATCCTGGAGATTGAGGGGTGCTGCTGCCTGGCCCCTTCATAAATACGTTCAGAGTCCTGCTCTTCCCAAACCACCCATCTCCCAGGATGTGTTTTTAGCACCTAAAATGGCCCCACTGATAAGTCAGCAGTTTTAGGAGAGACTTGGGCAGGGGGCACAGGGGATGTGGATGTGGGTGGTGTATGCTGGTCTGGGGCAAGTTTCTAATGGGTAGGAATGAAACCTGAACTGACCCTGAGCATTTTCCTAAGGCCCCCCCTACTTGTTGGATGTGGGGGTGAACCAGCAGGCTGCCCAGTGGAGCTGGACCTTCATCAGAAAGATGGAGTTTTCTCACGCCAGCTTAGGCAGGTGGCTCATCTTCTCTGAGCCCCACTTCCTCCTCAGAGATTGGGACAGGTCAAAGCCTTGAATGCCTGGAGGGGCTCTGTAATGCCAGATTCCCCTCCTCCTCCCCCCACCCCCCAGCCTCCTCAGAGCCTGAATGTGATGATCCCTAATGGCAGGAGTAGGGTGGGAGGTGTAAGGGGATAATCACTCATGGCCTCTTGCAATGGTTCCATTTCGGTGACTTTCGCTGGGTGAGGTGGGGTGAGGGTCTCTGAGAGTTTAGCTGAGTAGCTAGGGCCAGTGGGGACGAGGGCTTGGAAGGGTTGAGAGAGTCTGCTACGGGGTGATCCTCCAGCCCTGGACGCCTCCTCCTAGGTTGTCCTTCGGAGGCCACTGACTTCCCCAACCCTGGTGCCACCATCAGAGGTGCTGTCCACAGCAGCCCAGGAGGAGCAGCTGCAGGGCTAGCTGGGTGGCTTTTAGCACGTCCCTTCCCCTTTCTGGACCTCAATTTCCTCCTTTTGTAAAACAAGTGGGTTAGACTAGACAGCAGTGGTTTTCAGACCCCCCGCGCCCTCCCTCCCCCATGAATTCTTTCACAGAACCCAAACTTCTAATATGGATGAAGTGGAACTGCTCTGGCTCCCCTTCCTCACACTGCTGGCTCCGGAAGTAGAGTCTAAAAATCCCCAGACGATCTTTGAGGCCCCTTTCTGTGAGGTTCTAGGAAATCTGTATTAACCTTCAGAAGTATTGCCTAGTGTGAGGGTTGGGGGTAGGAATGTGAATCCTGGAGATTCCATTAAGAGAAATGTGGGCATTAAGAGGGGCCTCATCGTTGAAATGTCTGCAGCTGATGGCCTGTGCCTCTAACCAAAAGTTGCTGCTGTGCCCCTCCCCTCTGCCGTGTGGTTTATCTCTGCAGGCCCAGAAAAGGGCCTGTGCCTCTGGGTCCTAATTTGTGACTATAGTTACACCTCAGAGTTTCTCCCCGTTAGTTTCATGTTTCCAAATTAAAATGCAAATTCATCTTGGGGACAGATGTGAGGGAAGGGCTTTTGGCTGTTATCAGCTGTTTTTGCCTAACGAGGTATCATCCTTTATGGGGTGACTGCTGTATACCAGCTACTACAAGGGGACAGAGGTGAGACTGTCTCCACCTCTGCCCTCCTGGGGCTCTAAGACAACAGGAGGGACCATCAGAACACTACTTAGAAGATTTTACATATGTTATCCTATCTGCCCCAGAAGGTAGATGTTAGACTCACTTTTTAACTATGTAAAACTGTGTACAAAGTAAGTATGTATCCTATAAGCCCATGGAACCACCACCCAGATCAGGGAGCAGCATTGCCAGCACCCAGAACCCCCCTGTGTTTCCTTCCAGGCACAATCGCTCACCCAGGGACAGCCACTGTGCTGACTTCTAGCACCATAGAGTAGTGTTGCCCAAGTGGAATCGCACATTATGAAGTCTTTTGTGTCTGGCTTCTTTCATTCAACATTTTGTTTGTGAGTTTCATCCATGCAGTTGCAGATAGCCGTAGTTTATTTTCATCTTTGTTTAATAATTCCATTGTGCTGGGAGAATGGGAAAGGTCTATTTTGGCTGTAATATAGGCTACGTGGTGGGGAGGGAACCAAGGTTGGGAAGGTGAGTTGGGGGCCAAACTGATGGGCCTCGTTTGCCCTTGGGGCCCCCCTGCCCTCACCCCAGCCATCCAGGATGTGGGGCCCAAGGATGGGGCTTAACCTTTTGCTGGGGAGCTGGGGTTGCTTCGAATCCAGCTCAGCTCCTGATAACAAATGTCCCTGGCCTCGTGCCAACAGCAGATCTTAGCTGTTCCTGGGGCCACTCTCAGGGTATCTGCCAATAGAATGTTTTTGGACTTTTCAGCTTCCACCTAGCTGTGTGAAATTAGTAGCCCCACCTCCCTGCTCCCCACCCCCACCCCTGCCCCGTAAGGACCTGACCCAAATGGTTTATTTGGAAGGATGTTTTCAGCACAAAGAAGATGGTGTGGGTTCCACCCTCTGGGCTTGTTCAGGAGACTTGCCAGGATGGGTTGAACTCCTCATTATGGTTGAGCCAAATTTGCCAGAGGATCCCCAGACCTTTCTTGAGAAAGGAACGGAATTGGTTGTCTTAATGGCTGTGGGAAGCAGAAACAAGTCTAACAATAACAGTAACAATCATCCTCTTTCTTTTTGCCCAGCAGTTTATGCCCCTATCACAATGGGTCCTTACACAGATGTGTGAAGTAGGCGATATCAATGTTATCACCCCTGTGAGTCACATGCTGTGAGTCACATGGCTGACATACAACCAGACTAGCCTAGAATGGGTTCCTGGAGCCTGCTCTTTCCAGTATCCCATCCTCGCTGGGCCCTGGCCGAGCACAGAGTGAAGACATAGCAGGAAGGAGGGTGTGTGGTGGACCATGAGCGCCCACAGGCAGGAGGTCGGCAGGTGACCTGAGAGAAAGGCCTGGGTGCCAGGCCAGGTCGGTCTGGAGGTCTTCAGGGATCTGTGTGCATCCTGGTAACAGAGCTCTAGTTTGCAGGGGACTAGACATGGAGAGAAGAGGGTGAAATGTACACATCGCCTGAGAGTTAGAACAGCTCCAGCCACTTGACATTGATGAGACATGCCTTTACGTAATGGGGCCTCCACCCAGCCTGGTGAAAACAGTCTTTTGGGGTTCGTGGGGCCCGGGCGTGGTTGGTATCTGATTGGCAGAAGGAAAGCTGCCAACGCTTAGCCTAAATGAGCTCTGAGAGGCCCGTGATAATGACTCTTGAAAGACACATCCACAGGCAGCCGGTGTTATCTTTGTGACTTGCACACTGCGTCCTGGGCCCTGCCCTGAGGGTGACATGTGGCGTTCCCAGGAACGGGTGAGCTCCTCGGGGCAGGGATCCCAGGGCAAAGTGCAGACGGTCTCTCCTGGTGGAGGGGCGAGCACTCTCACGGCGCAGAGCTGCCTGGCTCTCAGTGCGGTGCCCTGGGCAGCAGAGCGAGCTCCATTCGACAGATGAGGAAACTGAAGCTCCTCAGACAAGAGATGAGGTCACAGAGCTAGCTGAGGGCAAAACTGGAACTAGAACCTCAGCCTCCCGGCTCCTGATGCCTGTTGTAATTTGTCACGGCACTCCCGCCCATCTTTCTCTTGGGGTGATGAGTGAGTTTACAATCAGTTCAGACTCGCTTTCAGGTGGCGCAGCCCGGAGAGAGCTGAGGTCATGAAAATCCCTTACGTTTTGACTGCATTTGACAGTTTACAAGATAATTTCATGATTTGCTGTTGGTTTTTAAGTATCAGCCCCTCTTACAGACAGGGAAGCTAAGTCTCCCACAGTTTCAATCATTTATCCAGTCAAAACTGGGACTTGAACCCAGATCTTCTGACTCCAAAACAAGTGCTCTTTCTCCTGCCTCACAGCTGCCTCTTTCCCCAGTAGACCTGAATTTCCTGAGAACAAATCGCTGAAGTTGGCATGGTTCTATTTCTCTGCACTTGTTCAGAGCAGATCTGAATAAGTGAGGACTCTTTTTCTATCTCCCAAGCAAATATGAGTTACTCTAAATCAAATCAGAACCATGCCGCATCGGTCACAAGTGAGGAAAGGCTAGAGCAGGGCAGTTCTTGAGGAACGAGGGCTGTGGATGATTGTGAAATTATCAGACTCTTAGGCTTGTGCCAATTGACACATCTGTCCTAATCTCACTTTCAGGGCTGTATGCTCCAGGCCTCAATGAGGAGCCCAAACATGGAGGCCTTCAAGCAGCAGAAGGTGGAGGACTGTTACGACATCGGAGAGGAGCTGGGGAGGTAAGAGGCCGGCAGAGGCGGAGGGGATGCCAGAGTTTATTTATTTAATTTTTATTGAATTTATTGGGGTGATATTGATTAATAGAAGTAATAACTTTCAGTTGTACAATTTTATAAAACATCATCTGTATATTTTAGTGTGTATTCACCACCCAATGTCTGTGAGGTTTGTTGTTGTTGTTTGTTTGGTTTTTGCTTAACTCCATCACCGTTTTTATTCAGTCCCCCCAACCCCCCTCCCCTCTGACAGCTGTCAGTAATCCTGAGGTTTATTCATCTTTATGGGAGGCTCTGCAAATAGTCATCTCTCTGAAAATAAAGACACGGGTAGAAGGGGCTAGAATTGTTGAGCGCTGTGTTGTCAGTATATCCTGGCTAAGAGTTATGGTGAATCCAAACGATTCTTGGTTTATCTGTCACTGTTCTCACCAAGCCCTCCCCAGACTTTGGACTGAGACCTGACCTGTGGTTTTCTTCTCTGAGTCCCACTTGACATTCTCCACGGCTCCCAGGGTTTTGTTTCATAAGCTCAGAGCCTGATTGGGAGGTGAAGTAATCCTCCTGAAAGTGGATTTGCATTGAGTAACAAGCCACAGGAACACAGCCATGAAGGTTCATGGGATCGGAGTTACTGGGTGCCTCTTCAGGTTTGCTAAACACGGAGCTCAACCAGAGCTAACCTCTGAGACCTGAAAGTAGTTCCTAGTTGGAGAGAAATGAAGATTTTTCTGAAGATCTCTTCTTGCTCCATTTCTAACAGATGCTACTATTTAGATGGTGTTTTAGTGATTATAGAACAGTAGTCCTGAAGTTTCATTCTCACAACAGTGCATGAGATGGGATAGTAAAAAATATATATATATGTTTAAAAATAGATTTTTATTGATTTCAGACAGGAAGGGAGAGGGAGAGAGAGATAGAAACATCAATGATGAGAGAGCATCATTGATCGGCTGCCTCCTGCATGTCTCCCACTGGGGATCGAGCCCACAACCCGGGCATGTGTCCTGACTGGGAATTGAACTGTGACCTCCTGGTTCATAGGTCAATGCTCAACCACTGAGCCATGCTGGCCGGAAGAAATGGGAATTGTTTTACTTTCATTTTTCAGATGAGGAAATTGCGGTCTCAAGTACTTAAGCAAGTTGCCCAAAGTTGTTCAGCCAGCAAGCGACATAACCAGGTCTGGCCAGCTCTGTTTGTAACTGCACACCTGTTGTGCTCTATCCTATGAGCATGGCACTTGCACACTCCCACGTTCTCACCAGTATATCCAACCTTAGCCTTTCACACTCCCAGCAAAGTAAAAACCTGTGGGTTTAGGGCCTCCACTGTCTCCAGGAGGCAAAGCAGGAGGCCCTTCCTCTTTATAGAGTTCGTGGGTCAGGTCTAATTCCTTACTTACTTTAATTCCGAAAGACAAAACGGAGCCAGACTCTGAGGAGAATGGAAGGTGCAGGTGCTTCAAGTTCAGGCGGTGCTTGTCCTGGGTGACTGGATGGCTGGGTGCATGGGAGCAAGTGATGCAGAGTCCCCAGAGGGGGATGACCCATCTGCCTTATTTCAGAGACCAGCTGACATAGGCAATCCAGGGCCCGGTGAAAGGGTGGGAGGAGGACAGAGGGCCAGAGGCTGAGGGTGGCAGTGGGAGGCTGCCTCTGAAAGGTTTCTCATGACCTGGGTGACACCAAGGGTAAAGTGGCATCCTCAGCAGCAGACCCTGCCAGTGGCATTTGATTCAGTGGCCCAACCTTGGCCACATCCTGTGTGTAGGGGTCTGTGCTAAGTGCTGTGGGTTCAAAGACAAGGAGGACACAGATAGTCTCTACCTTCCTGGAGCTCCAGCGTGTGTGTGTGTGTGTGGTGGGGGGCCACACACATAACAAGGGTGGAGTTGGATGGGACTGGCACCAGAGCTGGGAACTGAGGAGGGAGACTTTGAAGAAGGAAGTAGAAGCAGCTTCCTAGGGAATCCATCTGTTATTCCTCCCTAGTCCTGTCTTTCCGCCACGCACTATATTGGAGCTATTAGAACTAGAGAGATCTCACGTTTTCTGATCCTTCCCTCTAACAGGGTGTGAAGGCCCCATGTATCTTGCAGCCTGGGGAGCCTTAATGGACCCCACCTACTTTTCTAAAGTGCTAACCAGACATGGAGTGCAGAGGCAGGAGAGGCCTTGACATGCTAGGATTTGTGGTCTAGAGGTCAGAGGAGCTGGGAGGCCATTAGAAGTCCTCTAACAGGCCCTTCATCTGACAGTGGAGGAGACTGAGGCTCAGAGAGGGAAAGGTCTTGCCTGAGGCCATGGACAGGCTGGAAATAGAACTGCCTCCAGATGACTGCTCAGCTTCTGAAGGGACAGGCCTACCTTTCTCTCCTCCCCTTCGTTTCTTCCCTTAACATATTAAGGACCTGCTGTGTACCAGGCACTGCCCAAGGTAGGGGTACACAAACAGGAATATTCCTGTCCTCTTGCAGCTTATGTTCCATTGGTGGACAAAAGCACTAAACAAGTGAATAAGGGCACAGATACATCATTTTAGCATGTGTGAAGGGCTATGAAGGAGAGAGCAGGTGCCCTAAGAGAGACTAGGGCCGTGGTCGGCAAACTGCAGCTCGCGAGCCACACGCGGCTCTTTGGCTCCTTGAGTGTGGCTCTTCCTAAGCCTTAGGAGTACCCTAACTAAGTTAATAACAGTGTACCTACCTATATAGTTTAAGTTTAAAAAATTTGGCTCTCAAAAGAAATTTCAGTCATTGTACTGATGATATTTGACTCTGTTGACTAATGAGTTTGCCGACCACTGGACTAAGGGATGCAGGTTTAGACTGAGGGTCAGGAAAGGCTGCTCTGAGGAAGAGCCTGTTAACTTGAGAACTGAGGGGTTAATAAGCAGGTAGAGGCAACAGCATGGACATAGGCTCAGAGATGGGAAAGGACCTGGGGCCTGAGCTACTGACAGGAGGCCAGTGTGGCCTCAGAACGTGAGCTGGGGGCAAGTGGTGCTTAGATGGGGTTGGAGACATAGGTGGGGCCTGACGCAGCCAGCAAGCTCCCTGTCAACACAGGATGGTGGACAGGCTTGGCCGTAGGGGTCACACAGATTGCAACCTTAGGACACCTTACTCAACCTCTCTGGGCCTCAGTTTTCTTACCTGTGTGATGGGAATAATAACAGTACCGACCTCACAGTTGGGATTAAACGAGATGCTGAGTCTCTGGTGTTCCTCACAGAGCCGAGCACAGGGTAAGTGTTCAGTGAATAAGAGCTTCTGGCCTTTGAAGTAAATTTGAGGCATCAAGGTCCTGCCTCCCACCTATGGAGCCGCTAGGAGGAAGGGGTGGGACTCTGCAGGAAAACAGCACGTGGAGGGGCTGTCGTTCTTATTTTGGAGAGAGCTGTATGTACACCTGCTTCCTGGGCCATCAGTGAGTACTCTGCCTACACTCAGGGCTTTCTTGTTTATTTTAGCTCCTCATTAAGTCCTTCCTATGCAAAAATGAGAATGAATGAGTCACTTTTCATTTTTACCTGTGCTGATGGATGAAACTCACATCATGTTGAGTAAAGGAAGCCAGACTCAAAGAGTCCATACTGTATAATTCCATTTGTGTAAAGTTTGGAACAGGCAAAGTGAATCAGATTTGCTAGAAGTCAGATGGTGGTTATTTGGGGGACTGGTGACTGGGGCACAAGGGGGACTTGTGGGGTATAGGGGTTGTTCTGTTTCTTGGTCTGGGTGCCTGTTTCACTGCTGTGTTCATGTCATGAAAATAGATCAAGCCGTTCATGTTCATGTACATGTACATTTTCCTGTAGGTATGTTATACCTTAGCTTAAACCATGTGTTAACAAGCAAAGCATCTTTACTTCACTTCCTGCCCTTGTCTGGTCCCTGAGGCACATGTTTTTGATTCATTTGGAGGCCTTGTTTGTCCTTGTTCTACAAGTAAGAACATCTGTGAGAAACGCTGCAGCATCCAGCTTTGGATGGGGACAGCGTGCCCTGGCTGGAGAGTCCTGAGCTCGGCTGGGACCACTCCTGACCCTGCGTATCTCACCTGATTTCTGGCTGCCTGTGCTGAGTGCAGACACGTGGCTGCACTCACATTTTGGCAGCAGCCTGCTGGGGATGCTGGAGCGGTTGGAGAAATGCTGGCTTGCAGATTCTGGCCTCTACCAGACTTGGTAGCCACCTAGGGCAGAGCAGGGGTATATTAGAGTAGGCCTTATAAAGAAAAAGCCACTCAATCCCTCATTTTAAAGACAAGGCTAGGATCGGAGAGAGGAAGTGGCTTGTCCAAGGTCACACGGTGAGCCAGTGATAGACCATGTGCGGACTGGAGGTCTGACTCCTAGTCTAGGGCTCTGGCCACACCATCAGGACCCACAGAGAGCAAACTCGTTTTTTCCTTTATTTTGAATGCTTCTGGGGAGTGGGGGAGAATATCTGGTAGGGTGGTCATTTCTGTTTGACCTTGAAGGTGAAGGGTCAGAGTCAGGAGGTGAACATTTTGGAAGGAGTGATATTTCCTAGACCAGGGGTCCTCAAACTTTTTAAACAGGGGGCCAGTTCACTGTCCCTCAGACCGTTGGAGGGCCGGACTATAGTTTAAAAAAAAACTATGAACAAATTCCTATGCACACTGCACATATCTTATTTTGAAGTAAAAAAACAAAACGGGAACAAATACAATATTTGTATTTGCATGTGGCCCGCGGGCCGTAGTTTGAGGACCCCTGTCCTAGACCTAGAGGAAGGGCGCTGGTAGTTAGGACCAGTGTTGAACACTGTATGCACAGGGCACAAGGTAATTCAATAAAAACAGCATGCAATAATGAGTGGTTTCTTCTTGCTCTAGTGGTTTCTTTTACTTAGACGATCAGATTATTTTATTAAATGTTACTGTTGAACTGGATCTCGACAAGAATTTAGTCTAAATTTCCATTTTATAGACAAGGAAAGTGAGGCCCAGAGAGGGGAGGTGATTTGTCTA